ACAATCCTCCCACCTTAGCCTCCCAAAGAGTTTGGATTATAGGCCTGAGCCAACATGCCCAAAAGTGGTTTTTGGATAATCTAATGGCAAATTATCAGGAGAAATAATGTAATGTGAACACATATCAAGCAACCTGTATTTTGTTACACGAGCTCCATTTCTTAACCAACCCACAAGGTGATCCACTGGACTGTTACTGGCAGATTTTCAATTTTTTTCATGACTTCACTTATATCAACATCAGACTTTTAAATAAATACCAGTTTTGAATAAATCAGAAAAAAGGTCAGATTACTCCAATGAATTTGGTCTCTAGTACTGACTAGCTGGGTGAGGTTGGCCAAGTTTAACTTCCCTGTGCCTCAGTTTTCCCATCTGAAAAATGGAAATATAGTACTTGCTTCACGGCAGCATTGTGAAAATTAAATGAAGAAACAGGTCTAAAGTGCCTGGCATGATGTAATTGCTTGAGAATTGTTGCCTATGATAAGGATGAAGAAAGACAGAAGGGAAAAAACAAAGAGAAGGAAGAGGAGGAGGCCAAGAAGAACAGCTGAAACATTTCATTTAGTATTTCAGTAATAGTTCTTACATCTTATTTTACCTAACTGTAGTATGCTACAATAGTTTAGACATGGTCTTTGAATCTAGATTACCTATATTAAAATACTGTTCTGTTTAGTTGAGCTATTAGCTTTGCTTTTAACGATTGAAGATATTTTTATAAACTCAAGAGAACAGTCTATTGTATTTACAAACAATATTTCCCATTTCTGTTGCACTTCCTTCACCCTGATGCTCTAAGTCCCCTTCAGGCATAATTTCTATCTGAAGAACTTCCTTTAGTGATTCTTGTAGAATTCTGGCAGTGAATGTTCTTAGTTTTCTTTCCTATGAATAACTATTTTATCTGCATTCCTAAGGGCTATTTCCCTGGACATAGTATTCTAGGTTGACAGTTCTTCATCATTTTTCAGTGGCTGGTTTTTTAGACTTTTTGTCTTTAGTTTTCAGCAGTTTGATTATCGACTAGAAGGCTTCTCCTGCAGCTCTTTCTGTCCACACCATTACTCACTTGCAGGTTTTGGTCTCTTGAAGGTAAATGCACTATGGTCTGGTGGTACTTCAAATCTGGGGCTTTTTCCCCAATCTGACTGCTACTACTTTTTTTTTTTATTTTTTATTTTTAGACAGAGCCTTGTTCTATTGCCCAGGCTGGAGTGCGGTGGTATAACCTTGGCTCATGGCAACCTCTGCCTCCAACGTTCAAGTGTATTCTCATGCCTCAGCCCCTCGAATAGCTGGGATTACCGACATGCACCACCACACCTGGCTATTTATTATTATTATTATTTTTTGTAGAGACAGGATTTTACCATGTTGGCCAGGCTGGTCTTGAACTCCTGGCCTCAGGTAGTTCACCTGCCTCAGCCTCCCAAAGTGCTGGGATTACAGGTGTGAGTCACTGTGCTCAGCCTGCTTGCTACTAACTTTACAGAGACCTCAGATTGCTGTTACAGGCATGCTGTCCTGGTTTTATAGCAACTTTCAGTGGGAAAAAGAGTGGAGTGTGCATAGTTCATCTTAACCTTTATGACAAATTCCGCCACTCTTAAAATATTTTCCTCTGGCAACTGACATGAATGTTTTTGTTTAAAATGTCTAAATGCTCTAAGAAACAAGTTACCTTGGTAGTGTATGTTTTGTGGCATTATACCTAAGAAAAGATGTCATGCTCTGGCCATAAGTTGTTATGCCTATTATAAAAAAAAAATTTGGCCAGGCACAGTGGCTCACACCTGTAATACCAGAACTTTGGGAGGCCGAAGCTGGCAGATCACTTAAGGTCAGGAGTTTGAGACTAGCCTGGCCAACATGGTGAAACCCCATCTCTACTAAAAAAAAAAAAAAAAA